ATGGACTCTGAATCAGAACAAGCTCTTCATCAGAACTTAATGAACTAAATTAAATGTTTATATGAAAGATTATTTACTGAAAGTACTTACTGTACCTTTCAGTCGTTGAAAGATTTTAGATCTATTTAAGCAATCTAAATTTAACTCTTCAAACAAAGTTCACACATGTAAAACGTTGATATTTAACTTTACGATGCAATAGTTAGGATAATTAAAATCTAAAATCTTTTGAACGAAAGAAAAAAGATAGAATTAAGTTTTCAGATTCCAAATTTAGATAAGCGAATCAAATCGGTCTGTCTGCAAGCTATTTAGACTAAACTTAATTTCAAATGTATGAGTTGAGATGAGATTTGCATTATTACTTAGTTAAACATGCAACACGGAGAGAAAGCCTTTTTTTTTGCACAAAGCATATCTTAGTTCGAACTTTGCCTTAGAAGAACAACTTAGTGAGTTTCTGCACAGAGATTAGCATCTTTCTCTTTTGGCTGACTGAGTCCTTCTAGACCTCTTTTTATGCAGAATATATGGAAGATTCAGAGAGCCAGAAGCAAGCGTGTAAGTAAGCAAGCAATTAATGGCCTAGCCAAGAAAAGAAAATAAATAATACAATGAGACAAGCTGTTACTAGCTTTATTCTTCACAAAATTTTCATTTTAACGGAATCTCTGATTAAAATTTGCTTTCCTCACCAACATATCAAACAATTCTAGATTATTCCGCATCAAAACATTTCAAATCTAAAGAACAAGTTTGCTGACCTTATTATTACTACAAGTAATCCATAGCACAAAGAGTTAATAATTTACTGCTAAGATAATTATGTAGAAGTATTCTGTTATACTATGGAAGCTATATACAATGGGGCAAAGGTCACAATTGACCGTTTTACTTCAAATATATGAGAGAAAAAAATAGCTCACAAACGTGTAGAAATAATTTTATAATAGAGAGGAAAAGAAAACCAAGTCATTGGGAAAAAGTATAGATATAGAAGGAAAGAGTAGACTAGCAAGGAGAATTTCAGTCAATATCAAAAAAGATTGTGTGATTCGATAAAAAATACTCAGTTAGAGATACAAACAACAAATGAAGAAGTGTTTGTCTTTCACTCTCTTTCTCTCATCGTTTGCAGATGAGAGGACAGAGTGAGAGACACATGCTTTTTCATTGTGCTCTTTCTTTCTTCTGCTGTCTGCCTGCTTGTCTCCATTCTTCACATAGACAATGCTCATGTATACGTGTAATATTTTAGTAAATCGAAATGTCCACGTGTATTTTCTCATAGTGCATATCGATTTTACAGGGATACTTGTACATACTATTCCATGTATTTAGTCAATGTATACGGAAATTTAGGCGTCCTATGTGTACTTGTTTATGAATTTGTACGTGTATTTATCAACTTCTATGTGGAGTATGTGTGTATATATGTATGTGTGTATATATGTGTGCGTGTATATATGTATGTGTGTATATATGTGTGTATATATGTGTGTATATATGTGTGCGTGTATATATGTGTGCGTGTATATATGTATGTGTGTATATATGTGTGCGTGTATATATGTGTGCGTGTAAGGGTAGATGGATGGATGGATGGGTGTGGAAATTGAGCGCTGTGTTAAATTAATGTTACCGCAAGAATGTGCAGAGAGGAGTGTAATGTAGATGTGGCTTATTGGGGTGTAGTGTTTTCCATCCGACCTGCTTGGAGGTATATAGGGGTTGTTTTATTTCATTATTTCACGTGGTAACTCATCAGTACTGTTATTTAATCTTTCAATGTATTGCCTTGTGACTTGTGTCAAAAACTTAGGTTGAAGTTTGGTTCTAATTCTTGAGTAATTATTTGTTTATAGTCGTAATGTTTTACTAAATTGAGTAAGGTTATTTGGAGTTTACTACGATCAATGTGAATATTTCCTGTTATATAGGGAAAATTGACATGCATATTATTCATTTTTTTACTGGAATATTTAGATAGGTTGCTATAGCATTTAAGGTAAGTCACATGTCGGGTAAATAAACTTTACATCGCCCACTCTAAGGTAATGAACATGACACTCACTATTTGAAGTTGGAGATTGTGACTGGTGAAGATAAATGCACGGGGTTAACTGGAACTTTCTGTTGGTGGTGATATGAAGGAAGAGAATCATATTAGTAGTTTGCTTGACGTATCTTAATTACAAAGGATGCATGTTTGACCTGATCGCATTTTCATAAATGAAGCGGTCGTTTGACGCGCATAATAATTTTTGCGACTGATTGCTTACTTATAGAGCAAATTTTAGCAATCGATTTTTACTTAAAGTCGATCGATCGACATACACTCCCTTTAATATGCTCCCTAGACTTTGTTGTTTTCTCCAGTCTCTCTCACCTGTCTGTTACTCTTTGAGTAGGTCTTCTCAAATGGGAACTGCTATCTTCGAAAGAGATAAATGACAAATTAGAAATTTGCAGCGACAGACTGATTTCGGTGCGTATGCATGTATATGTATGTGTATTGTTGAGACGGATATAGTAGGAAGGTTTTTCACGGTTCTTGGTTTGAATCAAATATTCTGCATTTCGTGATAAGACTGATTTCGTAAGACGTTAGATGTAAATGTTCTTGAAATAATTGTAATCGAAATAATTAAGGGATTCTTGTGGATATCCTCTGAAAAGCAGGAAGTCGTTGTTTGAGAACAGTTGCATGTTTTTACACCCCAACAAGGACTTCAGCACTTACTATTTTATGGTTGACAACTCTCAGGAAGGTCAGTTATCTTTTTCTGAGTAGGATTCATAAACCTTCGCATTCTAATATCTTGTTTCGATAACATGTTAATTTTGGGATCACCAGTCTTGTTTTACAACATAATCATCGTTTATACTACCTTACTGAGGAATACCAGTACTAAAATATTTGGTAACTAATTTGAACCGTTATACTATGAACGATTGTTTCAGAGAGGTTGTCACGAAAACGAAAGAAACTGAAGGAAATTGCCAAAGAATCCTGTGGCGAAGAATCGCTTTGCTTGTTTACTCCAGCTCACGTATGCCATTTGGAGAATACGCAGTTTACAAGCTATCCAGTTATTTCCATCTCGAAGTTTCATACCGTTAACTCCAGTATTGGTAAGTTTTCTTCTTTGCTGCTTTAGCAGCATTCAAAAATAAAGGTGTTCAAATTTTTTCATTACATATTTACCTGCCAAAAAGTAACCTTAAGTCTCATGGGTAGCATTTATTCAAGATATAAACTTAATAAAATGACTTATAATGAGGGTTGGACTTATTTATGTGCTGGAGTTCCGGCGAGGAAGGTCGTTCCATTACTTTTGGGAGCATTCGCGTCTCTATTTAACTGCCGCATTTTGCTTGCTTCAGATTCCATTAAATTTACTGCAAGCACTGATTCTGTTATCAAAGATTTTATTGTCTAAATTGATGCATTGTTGCTCTTTATTAATTACGACTAGTCAGCTGCGAAAACGTTCTGGAAGCGAGTACTACGGTGAATATTCGGGACGGCCGTTAAAGGGCATTTAAAAAGATAACATACATCTGTAGCTTTAATATGCGAACATTTTAGAATTTAATGAAAGATTGAATTTCTGTGTTCGAAGTATCAGTTATTGTTGTAAGCAAATATCTCTTCAGCCTTTTTGAGGAAATTTTATATAGTTTTTCATATAAAAGAAGTAGCTACAGTTGTGCAAAGGGGAACCAAAGCTGTGTAGGAAACTATCAGTTATAGTGTTTTAGGCTCTTTACGGAGTGTGTTCAATACGAAAAGTTTGGAGTGGAGAAAATTGAATAAAAATGGCAATCAATATAAATCGCAGCGTATTAGATCCTTTTTATCGGTACAAAATGCCTCGCCTTCAGGCAAAGGTCAGAGCTGTATTGTAAATTTAATCATGGGAATTTTATTAATTATTCAATTAATTATTATAAGCTCTTTTATTTTCTAGGTCGAGGGCAAAGGCAATGGCATCAAAACCGTAATTGCAAATATGACTGAAATCGCTAAAGCTCTTGAACGTCCGCCAACTTGTGAGTTCTTCAGATTATATCTTAATTATATCATTGTAATGAATTATTTCAGGATTTGTGTTAAATGGGAAATCTCATCGATTTATGCATAAATTGTGAAATAGAATTATTGAAAAGTCGTAAAAGGTCATTCCGACTATTTGAAGAGGAACTTAAGAGTAGTGAGAGAAAGTAATTATCATTTAATTCAGTGTTGCGAAAATTTAATTCATATAGGCAGCTTTTTTACTCATGTTGCAGACCCAACCAAGTATTTCGGTTGTGAATTAGGCGCACAAACTAATTTTGACATGAAAAATGAACGTTTTATCGTTAACGGTGAACATGACGCAGCGAAACTCCAAGATATTCTTGATGGTTTCATCAGAAAATTTGTCCTTTGCGCAGCATGTGAGAATCCAGAAACCACTCTTGTAATACTTTTTAAATTTATGTTTTTCTACGATCTAACTAATTCATTTGTATTGCATTGTGAGGTGGAATTACAGGTCGTGAAGAAAGGTCAAATTCATAGCAAATGTAAAGCCTGTGGGAATACCTCGATAATTGATCCTAAGCATAAGCTTTCAACGTTTATTATGAAGAACCCACCAAAAGTAGATGAGAAAGAAAAGAAAGAAAACGGGAGTGGTTCAACGGAAGATTCTGTTGCTGATGGAGAAATTCTTAGTGACAAAGATGTGGTTAGTCAGATGACTACAATGAGTTCATTCAATTTGTTGTCCATTGGAATTTGAATATGTAAGCTAAAAAATATTTTTAGAATGGAAGCGCATCAGATGATCTTGATGATGATTGGGCAGAGCCAATGAGTGATCCAACTGGTTGTGTTTCGGCCCAAATTGGTAAATTAATAATTAGTAAGGACCTTGATAAACCGATCGAAGAGCGACTTGATATGCTGCATCAGTATTTCTTGGCATGCAAATCTGATGGCACACTTCAGGTATACTTTCAAATGCTGAATAGCACTTTTAATACTTCAAGACTGAATGAAGTTAGTCTTAGGAATCGCTGCATAATTTTCATTATATTATTCAGATTTGAATTATCTCCCTCTTTGCAATACACAGTTTTCGCAAACATTACAGAACAGTAAAAAACTACTAAATGAAGCTGAAAGACTCGAATTAAAATCAAAAGCTACTTTATTGTTGGCTGATGTATTATTCGATACGAACGTCGTGGTGCAGATAGCAGAATATCGGAATACTCTTCTTCGTTTTACTGTTAATGATCATAAGGTTGGTTATTTCTTCTAAATTCGTCTCAAGTTTATAAAATTGATCTCTATAATAAGACAAGTTTTTTTAGTAAGAATTAGATTTAAATTTCTATAATTTTAGGCTCAGCGTCATCTTCTAGGCGGTATCGAACAACTCATCTCAAAACATGTTGACGTTCTATTGCCAAAATCAGCTCATATCATCAAAGCTCTTTATGACAATGACGTTGTGGAAGAAGAGGTTCTTCTTGCATGGGGAGAGAAGGTTTGTATAGACAGATGTTTTTTTTGGTCCATTAATGAGTGCTGGCAATGGTTACTTGCAAATTTTTTAAGCCCAGTAAAAAATATGTTCAAAAGAAATTGTGTGTCGAAATAATCAATAAGGCGCAACCGGTTCTTGATTGGTTGAAGAATGCCGAAGAAGATGAAAGTGATGATGATTCTGAGGATGGAGCTATTGAGGTGAGTAGAGTGTGCTATATATTGAATGTATATTGTGTCATAAAAAGTTAAGCAGATTTTTAAGATTTAATTTCAGTTTGATGATCGTGCTCGTAATGTTGGGACGATTGGTATTAGTTCGTTAACAAAACCAAATGGTACTGTACAATCAGAAAAAGTTAAGATTGATGACGATGGAGAGGAAGTTGACATTGATGATATTTAACTGAAGTTATGCATTATCTCCTCAATTAACAAATAATCTTTGAAAGGCTTTTATGGTCATATAATACTACTGTTGAATCACTGGACATAAATTGATCTTGACTTGATAGCAAGGATTCTTTCATAGCATTGCACGCATACAGAAGTTTCAGTCATGTCATGCTTGCTGTTCTTCCGTTTTGTAGCTTAATACTCGCAGTTTATATCTTCGAATTCATGTATTTGCACAACTCCCAGATTTTTTCTCTTACTATGAGTTTGTCGGAATGCTTTGGACCTGGTTCCTTAACAACTTGTGAAAGTTCAACTGCATAAAGAGTCCACTTCCTATGGTGTTTACTTTTCATAAAACTATTCATTGCGCAGGATGATTATTGTATGACAGGTTTATCGAAATTGTGTGGAAAGGAAGATGTGTTGATGCGGGTCTCCTTGCAAAAGAAGAGTGCTGCACATTTTGCGACTCAGCTTGTTTACTTCTGCTTTACTAGAATAGTTGAATTCTTTACGAAGTGTAGATTCCTACCTCAGAACTGAGTGGCACGCCTCCCTATGTAATACTTTTATGGAGCCTCAACCTGGGAGTTCCTTGTAGGATTATGAGGAAACCAGATTTAGCCGATCATTTCCGCATCATATATTAGTAGGGTGCTGAGCTACCAAGTCTGTCTCTATGGAGCTCGTCGAATTTGGCACAGGCGCATATGCAAGTCAAGTTTCTTGGGAATCAAAGAGATGGTGGGACATCCCGTGTCTGAGATATAGGTCAGACCCACACCCTCGAGTATATTAAGTCCGTGCACAAATTCAGTGGTCGATGCCACTTACTGCACTTAAATGACATATCTTGATTACTCCGCAGACCTTATCGTGACTGCAGTGCTACAAAGAGTTTTAAGCAATGTACACTATGAATGAGTCCACTCTCTTTACCACTACTGACATCATAGAAATATAACAACAGGAACAATTAACTAATAAAGACTGATAAGAGGGAACGTCACAAATTTTAAGCTCCAAATTCTAAAAACTGGAACAAATTCTAACAAGCATTCTAATAATAAATGAAAATGAAACGAATAGTCCGGTATTTTAAGGCTCACAACCGAAGCAAAAGCAAAACAAGTCATATTCGTCTTTAAAAGTGTATTTAATCGCATCACGCACTTCTTGTGACATGAATAGAAGTCTCATGGAACATATAAGTAGATCAATGCCCACATTCTTCATGTCATCCTGAAATAAAAGTTTGAAAGCCTAGAATGCTTTAACAAGCAAAAAAAATATGGGTCAAACTACTTCTCAAATTAAGTTCTAGCAGCAAAAGCTTATCAAAAACAATATATATTGCTAAGAACAATACGTATTGTCAAAAACAATATATACAGAGAAAAAAAGCGTAACTAATCACAACTTGGGCTGTTTCATAGAAAAACTGGTAATAAAAGCAGAACTCAGATCAGAGTAGTTTCCGATGCTTCCGTCCTCTCACAATCCATAGCTGTGATCGAATGACATACTTTCGAGCTCCTTCTTTAACACTATCCAGTGGACAAACATACAGATATACTTTTGCTTAGTATTTATGGAAGTTTGTAACAATTCCATCCCAAGTCATCAAATAGGAATTATTTTGGTCCTACATTTCATCTCTAACCCAAGCTTAGTAGCAAGTACATCATATTTTTCCTTTTTCTCAGCCTCACAGCTTTCAACTATCCTGACTAGTGATGCTAATCTTTATCAGAATTACCTCACGTCGTTTCTTATCGTGTATCGTGATTTTTATAGCTGTTCTTAACTCTGTTTCCATTCATGATTTCCTGGACAGAATGCCTTCCCATCCATGGAATTGCTTTTAAATCATATTTTTTGCAGGCTCGTAAATTGATGCATCTTAGCACCTTTTTGTTTTTCCAATGTAGTCGTGACATTTACTCACACTGCGTTGCCAGAAGGTTCATCGTTTTCACACGTTCCCTGCAATATTGGCACTTACCTTTCTCACCTCCAAACATATTTCTATCTTCGAGATAACAGTGTCGTGCCTCATCTTGTTTCCGTGTCGAAGCCATTTTGATGAATCGACCATGGACGAGATTTTATTCGTTCGCACCTTGTGTAGTTTCGCATAATGGGTTTTCTTTTCTATTAGGCTATACAAAAACGCCTTCTGAGTTGCTAATACGTCTTAACGATAGGATTTTCTGCGAGGTTGTACTCAATCTTTAAATAGGGCACAATAATTGCCAAGTACGTGTTATGAGCTTTCTCTGCTTCAGAATCGCTTTCCTTCTGGTACATATGGGAGAGGTACATATAAGAACATTATGAGGTTGCAAAGGCATAAGCTCACTCTTCTGCTGAACATTATGAAGTCCACGTCCTGCTGAACATTATGAAGTCCACGTCCTTGGCAGGTACAGTCTTTCCAAGCATGCAGTTTGCTTGTGAATTCCGTATTTGTATAGTAATTGATTGGTTGTCTTCATGCAATATACAATAGCATGACTCGTGCCACACATCTTGTTGCCAACTTGTAAAGGTTTTATGCAAGTTATTGGCCTGAAATCCCTACCATTTGGAATCCGGTTTTCCCAAATTCGGCATCAGACGGGAAAGAGTCATGAACTTTATGATTCCAAAATTCATTGTGCCGAATGTCATCATCATTCCCCATTTACGATAAAGGCTGGTATCACTGGTCAACATAGATAGGCTGACTGTAATCAAGACCGAAAAAAAACATAAGTATGATATATACTGCTCGGGACAAAGGTGAAGAGCAGAACAAAAATGATTCGTCTGTGATAACTGATCACGCTGAGGCGTACACCAAATCCTAAGAAGACGCTCGAAAGCATTTCGATCACCGTCGTGGATTCTACGAGGATGAAGCAACAAAGATCAGCACAATAAATCTGAGAGCGATACAAGTACAGCCAGAGTGCTAGAATTAGATTCAGACCCAGAACAAATAAGGGAGATCAATCTCCTTGTGATATTAATATTAATTCAGTGGTAAACTGGATCGCATTTACTATAGTCAACAAATGATCAGTAAATTTTGAGAAAAATTCGAGATAAATGTTTAAATTTTTATAACATTCTGTTTTTGAAGCAAAAATAATTTTGATTTTTGCTATGCATATACATAATCTTAACATACCGTTTCAGAATGAATATTAGACTCAGGATTTGAATCACTTTCTTCATCTAATTTCACGGCAACGCTGTTTGTATTTTCCACCATCAAATTTGCCGTGGGCTCACGTACTTTGGACTCATTTGGATGAAACCTATTTGATACAGACCCATTTAATGCATCCTGAATTTTGAATGATAGGGATAAAGGATTACTTGGAAGGTAAATAAATTTGTAAAAGATGAAAAATTGTTACCTTTATACATGGAAAAAACATTTTATGTACAAGTAGAAACAATCTGGTTTAAACCCTCTACTTTCATTTAAAAATTTCTAGTAGAATCAAATCCTTCAAAATACATTTAAATAAACAATAATATTTCTAAATAAGAATTTATCAGCAGTTTTTGAAAAACAGATTTTAATGACGAAACCGACAGAGCAATCGCAAGAATTTATGTAAGATCAGCCATCTTTTGATCTCTATTTTGAAAATTGACATAAGGATAGCTTCTGTAAGAAACGAGTCTTATTGATTTATAAGATTAATTTCAAAACATCGCTGCTGAGTGAATCGGTATTATCGATAACTAATTATTTGTTTCGTACCTGCTAAACATGATGCAAGTACTTTCTGTTTTTTTCGGGGTAATTTTTGTCAAGCTGTGATATGAAGCATAAGAACCAGCAATCATTAAACTAAATCTGCTTAATTTTGGCCAGCTCTACAAAAGACCCTATTTAATCTACTTATACCACAAACTCAAAATTTATAATGCACTATTAGTACCTGCTTATCCCTAGTCTTACCTAGACTAAAAAATCTAGAATTTCATTTCACAAATGGAACTAAGTAATGCATAAGAAATAAATCTGAAGTGACCATTAACCTAGTAATTTTTAATCTTTTTTCATAATTATGTAAAAATATTTAGTCTTTCACTGCCCCATCGAGAAATAACAGCGTTTTATGCGATTGCATCATGTTACCAATGCCTGTCTTGATGAATCAGAGTTTTTTATAATTATGAAAATAAATGCAGACCTTTATTGAAACATTGACAATATCCCAATCACTAGCGCATTTTCCATTTCTAACAGGCGTAATATTCACTTCCACTAGATGTCCACGTATTTCATCAATATATACTTCGAACCAACGTTTTCTGTCCATAACCTTACCAAAAAATGGCAACAATGGAGGTTTTCGCGCAATATAATTTGCTGGTATAATTAATTCAACTGTAACCTGCAAATTCGCACCACTATGGTTTCTGTTTACAGATAAAATGCATAACGTTTTTTATAGTTTTTCAAAAAATTTCCGGTCATCATATATTCTTTTATACGATGGACTTAATTCATTCTTACTTCCATTTAAAAAGTTGAACTTTTCATCATAATCTATGAAAATCTCACCACAATTATACTATCTTTGCAGGTAGTAGTAAAAATACTTTGAATTTTCTGACCCTTTTTCGCAGGAAAAAAAGCAGCAGCGTTTATCTTGGACTGCCTGAAAAATTCATCAAATAATGAGAAGCACTCATTTTATTTTAGCTAGAATGAATAAGTAGTCAAAATTCTTTGAAATGCTATATATATATATGTTTTAGAGTGCAGGAAGACGATTCAGCGCTAGAAACAATCATGTAGAAAAGAAGATTAGTCTCCACATGATACATGATATACTATATCACATTTAGAAGCTCAGAGGTTCATTTTCTTTTGTGTGCTTCTGATTCTCGCGTAGGGTGTGCTTCTGATTCTCGCGCAGGATGTGCTCCACGACTTTTACTGTACTCGCTCCGATCCAGTTCTGCTAATCCTGTATATCGGTAGAGTGCTTTCTCATATGTGTCTTCAAGGAGCTTTTTTCTACAACCTCACCTTTTTTCCACTTGTTTCCATTCCCGATTCTAGCGATATATTTGGTTTACTTACGTCTAAGTTCGTATTCTAAGCGTGGGACAAGTACAACTAAAGTGCCGGAATGCGATCCACCGCCAGCACCAGAATCGATAAAGCGACAAAGAAATTAAACGTCATAAGGAAATTGTTTTTATACATATATATCAATCAAATCAATTGATTTGATTCGTTTCCTCATATACAATTCACATAAAACTTACGAAATTGATATAAGAACCCAGTCACCGATTTTTAAAGAATATCCTTCATTATAAATACAGTTACCCACAGTTGTCCAAATATAACAATGATGTTTCCATTTGGCAATAATAATGCCAATGTAACGATTTCCACCGAAATTTTGTGCATTCTCGTCAGCCTTTGAATCAACAATCTTCAATTAGATGAAAAAATATCTTTAGTTTACGGCGTTTGAATTTTTCCAAATATTTGGACAAAATTAAAACTTAAGCAAGTAAAATATTGAACAGTTTACGTTCTGAAACATATTTTGTATGGAAGTTGTTTTATGCAACATGACAGCACAAAATAAGTTTACGATAAACTGAAGAAAATGAAAATGTTTGCTTTAGATTCCACTTACGTGAGGAATTGCAAAATTGTCCACTACTTTCCAGAATGGATCGTTAGGGGCAGTTGAATCTTTAAATGAACACCAAACAGTGCACTTTCCCGAACCAAGTAAAGTGGTATTGAATGGAATGTTCGAATCACACTCAACAGGTCCCAGAGTATCAGAGTACATTATGCAGATTCCTTTGTTGGAAACAAAACTGCTTGACATAATTTCTGTTTCAACCTTAATAAGTGGAAAATTCCTTAACATAATCGAGAACGGACAGCCAATAGTGAGAAAATTGAAGTAGTTGACTTTCAACTACAATATCTGATTCCTATTTTTTATAACTGACTTAAATATTGTGGTTGACTGCTTACTACAAGTACATACGCAGTGCTTTTCAAATCATGCAAACATAAATATACTTCAAGCTGATCATGAACTATACGAGTACTGCATAATTTGCAGCATTTCATGACAGTTTTCACTTTCCATGACACATCGTTTTCGTCAAGCTCAAAAAGAAACCAATCACCAAGTGCTGGTACTGTAGTGAATCTGCAAAGTAATACCGAACTTCATGTTGAGTAAAAAATAGGATTGTTTGTTTTGAAAATATACTCTCTCAAATTACCAAATGTAGTGAATTTGACTGAAAATAAAAAGGAATTTATATTTTACATTAATAATAAATAAATGAATAATGAAAATAAATAAACAAATAATAAAAATATATAAAATGTTAATTCCCTTTTAATTAAATGTTTACGTATTAAATTTAAAAAATATCTAATATATATTAGATATCTTATATATTTATAATCGATATTATATATTTATAATCGATATTAGATATATATCTAATATATATCGATTATATATTAATCGAGCAATTAAAGGATTAAGAACTAATTGATTCAAGCAGAAAAAAAAAATTAAGATCCGATTATTTTTGGATAAACAATCAAAAATTTCTAATCACAAGAAATTATTCCAAATTTTTATACCACTGCATACAATCAAACGATGCATGATTTCTTCAGTTCATGATTAAAGTTGGCCGCTATCAACCTAGAAGAATAGTCTGAATTTAAAATAATTTTTCTAATGCTAAAACTTGACATTTTTAGATCGACGTATAACAAGCGACCAATTTCGTAGCTGGATGTTGGAATATATACGGATGATATTGATTTTTTGATATCGACGAGACAAACTATACCGGATCTTCTGTCTAGGTCCATGCACTCCTGCATACACAATTGAAAATAACATTCTAGACGTTTTTAAAACTGAACAAATTTAAAAAATTAAATATAAGCCAACCAAACTTACGAGAACTTGGTCAACATGCCATACAGTGATCGGGTCTTCGTAATTTCTTTTCATACGCCGTAACATTACTTTGTACGTTTTCCGAGTACCGAATTCACGTACCGACGCACTGAGCAAATTCTTCTGATCTATGACTGAACCAACCCAATCCGCAACTAGATTATCCATTGGCCAACAGGAAACAAATATGGTTGACAACAGCTGAAATTATAGATTTTAATAACAAAGCAGCTGCGTGTTATTAATATTCATCTCATCTTAAGACTTTTAACCTCAGTCAATATATTTTTGACTAAAAATAAACTCAAATTCCTTTTCTGTGGTATATGTTGTTCTTAGGCTGTCACAAAATCATGTTATTAATAAGTTTTAAACATATCAGTATTATTAAACGAACCATTAAGTTATTATTTATTGGAAAGCATTCTAATATTGGATCTACGGATGTCCAGTTGACAATATGGAAGTTTATATTTTTATTATTCCGATATCCACGGCATGAACTGCAAGAAGAAAAGGCTCTAAGCGAATTAAAACAAAGATGTAAAGAAAGTTTATAAGAAGATTTGATGACAGTTATTGTGAGTCAAATCCTAATGAGTCAAGTTTAAGAGATAACAGGAAACGGTATTAATTCACAGTAATGATAATCAAGTTCAATGCCTTTTATAATTATTTCAATTTAAAAGATCGCAAATATCATGGCCTAGAATTACCTGAACATAAATTTTATCCATTTTCCAATTGTTAAATTTTCATCACTTGAACATATACCTTCTCCAAGAGTTGGCGTCCATACAAATGTAAATCTTTCAGTTTTACTAACGACTACACCTACTAGAGGATTGGAGAGCTATAAAAAGATTTCATCAGTCACAAAAAATAATAATAAGAGTAGTCACCAATTATACTTTCCTGTGATGTATAGAAAATATTTTTCCTCAAAACTTTCAAAAACGCCAACAGCATTTATGTTGCTCAAATAAAGATATCTTACATAAAATACAGTTCTTAAACTGAAAAATTGTATATGATAAAGAATCAGTTATGAAAGAATCTAATTATTCATCGTATTCTCACCTGCACATTTCCCGTAAATGAAATCATTTGACGACACCGATCAGGAATCTGATTAGAAGATACGAACCAATATACGCAGTTTTCCTGTTCATTCCAACATCCTCGAGGAATCCTAAAATTTACTCCATAAACAAAATTTATAAATTTTACTGCAAATAAATGCACAAACTAATCATCAAAATAAAATAACCGTAATTATTCAAACATTTCTGAAAATCAGAAAACGCAAATTAATCGTGTTTATGACTAAAAATTTTTAAAAACACTCACTAGCCATGTAATATCTCATCCTAAATTTAAAACAAAATATTTTGATATTGTTAAAATGAAAATAACCTTTCAACAAACACCCGATAGACCGTGTCTGCAACAATTCCAGTAAACGGTGTAAATACGGCTACTCGGCCAAAATGCTTTGATGTGATAATAGTTCCATGCCTAATTTTCTCATTGAACTTACCAAATACGACTTCTGTCTTGACCTTAAATGAAAGAAAAAATTCTTGCATTGCAAAACTTTCACAAAAAAAACATCTTGCAACTCAAAAGAATATGATACCAATTTTCAAATTGCAGGTCGAATATTCTTAAATTCAATTACTTCATGATGTCTCAAAGTTTCATGATTTATAAGTTTTATAATCTAAATTATAGTGAAAGCATCAGATCCAAAAAAATGTACAGCCGTTGATAAATGATGGGACTTATAGAATTATGCATTACATGATTACAGAAGTTGGGTAATGTAAATCAATCATGAACAAAAAAAATATGAGAAGTAAAATAATTTACTTGTACAACGCCACCGCTAGCATTTGAAACTCGAGTTTCAAGGCAAGGTTTGATCTTGAAGAAATCATCTCTCTTTGTAGACGCCATCAACCAATCACCTAGATCAAAATTTCTTGAACCATAATCAAAATATATTTCTTTTTCAGCTTTTTCAGCTTCTATCCAAACTCGCGCATAACGATCATTGCAGTGTGTTACGATTCCTTCTGCTAGCTTCTGAGTCGTAGTCATTTTCAACAATTGTTACATTCTTAAAATAATCTTTATACGCATTACAAACTTATTTGATTGAAAGAAAAAAAATGATATTTTATTAATTCTAATGAAGCGTAACAGCATTTCACTTATGTTACAACGTAAGTTATTGTAAGAAATATTTTAACAGTGAATTTTTTAGCCTTCAAAAATTTTTGAAAATGAAAATTTGTAGAGCTCAAGTGACAACGTCTATTTAAATGACATACATTTAATGTATGCTCTTTGAATTTTCGTAAATCAAAAGTATTGTAATCGTAGATGTATGCAGTTTGATGAATCAAGACAAGCCAAATGTAAACAAATAATATTGAATTGCTATTTTACACAAGCTTGTTAAAATCAGCTGATGAATTAGTGCAATGAATAAATATTTCATTTCTGTTTTATTGCTAATTTTAAAAGCTGTGTCACTTTTGTTGCTTTTTGAATTTATGATTTTTTTATAAATTGCAAATTATAAATAGCTATAAAATGTAAAAATTATATGTACTCACAAAATTGCTCGTTAAAAAAGGTCAACAAACCGAAATTTGTATGGTAATTATCTTCAAATAATGATAATGATAATAGTAATAATAATAATAATAATAATAATAATAATAATAATACTCCACTATAACAGAGTGAACTTTTGAGCAGCAACCTGCAAATAATAGCATGGATAGTCAGTCCTTTACTGAATGGCGTAAGCATGTCACAATAATGACATGAATTAATGCATCAGAAAATGAATCAATGCGTAGTTTGTTTCTTATTGTACACGCAGAATAAGAAATATGCAAATGACGTAATGATTATCAGGTAGAAGTGAATACTGGTTGCAGATTAGAAAACGAAAATGAAATTCAGTACAGACTGATAACACAACCCAAAATTGATCTTGAATCAATTTTGTTTACCTGCAAAATTTTTTGACACAAACTAAGATATTTTTTTATTGAAAATGAGTTGTATTAATTCATTGACCTACTTTTTTGACTATAAATAATACAAAAAATTGTCAAAAATTATAATAAAATAACTCTATCATTCCTAAAGTTTTTCCTTTTTTAGGATTTCAAGTAATTCTTATGCAACTTATTTCTAAAAATGCGCATTTTTAGGATTTCAAGTAATTCTTATACAACTTATTTCTAAAATGCGCATTTTTAGGATTTCAAGTAATTCTTATACAACTTATTTTTAAAAATGCGCATTTATCGTTCCCAATTTAGCAATAATATACTTAAATTGTATAAACGTACAACTGAAATACATAGTTAATTTTATTATAATTAATTTTATTACACTTAATTTTATTATACTTGAATCTATTATACTTATTTAACCTTTTAAATTTATTATTTTTAAAAAATTCATTTTGCGCTTATTATTTTTTTAAAAGTATTATTGCTTAAAAGTTATTGATTTAAAAAAATGGAAAAAAATTTATGATAAAAAAATAAATACAATGTATGGAGCGGAAACATTTACTGAATAATAAGGGTAAAATTCTCGCAATCTTACTCTCTACCTCAATCTTGGATATGAGTAGACAGACAGAGATAGAGATAATGTAAAATAAGGAGAAGAGAAGAGGGGTTGGCTTGATTAGTGCAGTTTGTCGAGAAATGAAATATAGTAAATGAAATGAGTGATTAGATGAATGAGTGAATGAGTGAATGAATGAATGAGTGAACGAGTGAACGAGTAAATTAGTCATTCAATCACACTCACACTCATCAATTACTTCTATCTTCGAGACCAAACTTTTATATATATGCTTTCACCTCTGGTCATATTTTTGAAATAGGTCACTACAATATTTTTTATTCCTACTATGACCTTTCAGTTAAAAATTTTTGACCCTTAACCTTTGCTCTTCCATTTATTCTCTTCATTTGTATTATATACGAAGGACGACGAATCGATAGATATTCGGTCAGTGACATTACCAGCCATTGCACATCATTCAATATCTTTTTTTCTACTAAATGCAGGTTTTGTATTTACATTTTTACTTAACTTTACACTTTTGCAAAGTTTTTAGTAATACTTTTTTGTGTTTCTTTCATCACAACTCAATTTTTGCTATGATTGCTTTTTATTTTTTATTTTTTTCAATAATTTTCAGTTTTATGGAAAGTCTTTAAAAGGATATATATACGCTTTATTATTTTTTTATCAAATTTTCCAAAATTTTAAACCAATTTTTATAATAATAATAATAT